GCCGAGCCGTGCCGAGCCGAGCCGTGCCGAGCCGAGCCGAGCCGTGCCGTGCCGAGCCGTGCCGTGCCGAGCCGTGCCGAGCCGTGCCGTGCCGTGCCGAGCCGTGCCGTGCCGTGCCGAGCCGAGCCGTGCCGAGCCGAGCCGTGCCGAGCCGAGCCGTGCCGTGCCGTGCCGAGCCGAGCCGAGCCGTGCCGTGCCGAGCCGAGCCGTGCCGTGCCGAGCCGAGCCGTGCCGAGCCGAGCCGTGCGGAGCCGAGCCGTGCCCGCCGGGTTAAGGTACCCCGGCCGTGGTGCTGAAGGGACAGCTCCGCGTCGGCCGGGCTGGGAATGGGCAGGGATGGGTAGAGCCGGGCTGCGACCGGCCGGGAACAGGGAACAGGCAGGGCAGGGGCATACATATTCCGTGATGTTCCCCTCTCTTTCCCCACTCCAGTGGTTTCCTGGACTCAGCTCAGTAGGGCAGGGAGGTGCCCAGGCACTACAGCTCTTGCTTCTACTCTAACATAGGATCACAGAATCATAGGATGGTTTGGGTTGGAAGGCACCTTCAAGCTCATCCAGTTCCAGTCCCCTGCCATGGCCAGGGACACCTTCCACTAGACCAGTTTGCTCAAAGAGCCATCCAACCTGGCCTAATTTGAACACCTTTGTGAAGTTGAGTTTGTTGTTTGGGGTAAAATCACAGTGTTTAGAAAATAAAGGCATGATAGATTGAAATGTCTCTTATAATTAGCATGGTATACACTGTGTTTATAGGCACTCTGCTATGTGTCACAGTAAGATTATTTTGAAGGGAAAATATTGGAAAAATATTCCCTTAAAATTAAATGCTTGAAGCATCCAATTACAGTAAAAGTGGGCTTTTGATGGGAACGGTGTTTCCAGCGCAAGTTAAACACAGATCCTCATGAAACTTCTGGCCCGGTGCAGCCTTTGAGTTGCTTCTTTCCCCAGTACACCACTAACAGCATCACTCCCCTCTCCTACTGTGCTCCCCAGCAGAGGCTGGCATGCCAGCAGTTAACACCACCACGGATACTGGAACTCACTCAAGCAAAGAGCACTCCAGAAAGAACGCCAGGGTTTTGTCTTTTCTCTTACGCTGGAGGAATGGGAAGAATGCGTCATGGAAGAGAGTCAGTTGAAAGAGTTGAATGGCTTGGTTGGGGAACAAGATTGGTTTGTGAAATGCAGCTTTTGACTGGAGGTACCCAGATGGTGCTGGTGAATCAAGGGGCGAAAGTCTGACAGAAGGAACTGATACCTCTGCCTGAGGTGTTCGGTTTTAATTTGCTTTCTTTGCCTTCTCTGAGAGAGTTCAAGGTAACAAACACAGTCCATGTGAAGGCTGCTTGTCACTGGATGGTGAATGCCCTTGATTTCAGCAGGAAATTCTCCATTCAATTTAATCTATTTATGTGAAAGAAGAAAGTAAATATTTTTGGTCAGCCTTATGTGAAATGAAAGGAGGATCAGCAGCGGAATCACATTTGGGGTGGGGGGAATGTGATCAGCGTATAAAGCTCTTCCACATTACAATGCATTCACTTTAAGCTTGTGACTGCTATTCCCCTCTAGTTTTATGTATGTGTATTTATTTATAGACCGTCAGAGACAAACAACTTCTACAAACTAATTACAGTGTGTTGCCCAGAGCACAAGGTACACATTATCCTATGCGGTGAAATGCATGGATACTCTCACGGATGCCTAAAATCTGCTGCAATTTCACAGCTACTCCACAAGCAAATAGATCTGTCACAGAGGCAGCTGCACAGGCCAGGGTCAAAGCTAGCAATTGGGAATCACCATGCTCCCAAGCCCTTGCCATCCACTGTCCAGCCTCCCTAAAGCAGACCTGCTATTAGGCACAGAAAACAACAGGATGGAGGTGGTTAAGTCGACAGTTTTAGCAGGTTGTTAACAGAGTACAGGAGAACAGAGTGAAGAAATGTGCCAGGGCTCTTCGATCGCATTTTGCTCAGGCAGTTGCCTTCCAAACATTCAAGCTAATAAAAGCAGTTAACTTCTTTTTCCTTTCTGCCCCATGCACTTTATTTGTGACCTGCATGATTTACTGCTAAGGAACCTTCAGGGCTTGAAATACCTGTCCAGACTACTAAGTTGATCAGAGGTTCGCTATAACTACAATGAATCTGCTTTTACGTCCATTGGCACAACTCACAGATGCCAACTCATCTCTACCGGCGAATGACAAATCTACATGCTGTGTCCAGCTGATAGAGAGAACAGGGCCATTGATTATAATGAATCCATTGATTCTAACAGGTTCAAAGTCACCGGATAACTCAGGATGGGGAATCTCCAACGAAAATAAATGACGTGCCCTTTTCACATCAGTTCCCCGCTTATGGAACAGCTTTGGAGCAGAAGCTGAATATAGCCCACAAGAGACAGGAGCCATCCTTCAGCAGCAAGGATAATGGACTGGACTGCAATGTACATCAGAAATAACCCACAGGAGTCACAGCTGTGAAGAACTGACCCGAGAGGAGCAGTGATTCAGCCACTTTGGGCTTTTGCCAGAGCCTCAGGAACACTCACAACAGCTCCCAAGCCTGTCTCGGCTGCCAAACCTGCTCTGCCCTCTGCACATCGGAGTCCCAGGGCAGGGTAAATTTAGCAGAGCTGTCTCAGCACAACCTCCTTGCTCCCGCTGCAGCACAAGCTGGGTGTCACACAGCCGCAGTGACAACTACCTGTCCCAGGCCCAAGAATGGGTGCTAGTTCTGGAAAACCTGAGGCTTTTCCAGCTTATGCTGATGACCAGGTGCACCTTGAGAGCGTGTAGGTGGAAGAATTCCTCCACTTGTGCATGTACTTACAGCAGCTCATGTGCTTTCCCCACTTAGACTCTTCTCCCTGGTGAGTACAAGGGGACAGTACTCAGACTCCCTGCTGGTGCACAGCCTCCAATGGAGCTGCATCTTTGACCCTGTGTGGTGGCTGGCACCCAACTGAAGGGCGCTTTGTGTTCTTAGCTTTCTTCCTCTGCCTATCCTGACATGCCTGATGTGTCTCAGCTGCCATAGCTTAACTTAAAGGCCTGTTTTGAGGACATAGCTGCTTTCCCCCACCCCCTGCTTGCCCATCAGGTAGGTGCTGGTTGGACTGCCCTGGATAATCCCCACCTTCATTGTCACTTACCCCTTCTGGCTCTCCCACTCCTGATTGCTGACATGGAGATGGGAGGACCATGGGGTAAGGGAGGCTCCCCGAATCTCTGCATCTGCCCCTCTGCTGTGTAGGCTCTTTCCCCTCCTAGGGACCCAGTGGCCACTGCAACCCTTGAGGGTCTATATGAGCATTTCTAATGCTTAGTATAAAGAGGAGTAATACTGAAATCTGTCTCTCTGGGTCTTGCCGTGAGGAAAGAGGAGCAGCATCACCATTTGCTGACTTTTATTGGACTAAAAAGGTGTCCATCCTTTTTAGCAACAAAATCCCCATATCCCGGGGTGCCATCGGTTTGAGGGACCTCTGAGCCAGCTTTGCCGCTCCCTCTGCTGGTGGCTGCTCTGTTCCCATGCCATAGCCGCTCTGATACTGCCGTTTCTGGGTGCACACAAGCTATTTCTGGCACCACAGTCCAGGTCCTCATCATAGTTCTGGCGTGGCATTCGCTGATGTTAGTGCATCGATGGAGCTGTGAATCCAGGAGGAGATAAGAGGACAACGCTGCGCACAGCCAAAGACAATACACAGAAGATGCCAAGTGCACTTCAGATGCTTTGACAATAAAATAACAAACAAAAAACGTCTGGGAATTGATGTTTGTTGTTTGTAATTACTTTTATGAGGGTGGAAATCTTTCTTCCGCCACTATTCTTCCCCCTCAATCAAAGAGTGAAGCGTTTAAACTGTTTCAAGTGTCCTTTGGAGAATTTTAAATGGAGAATGTGTGCATTTTAATGCCTGAGAATATTCACTGGTGCCTGTTTTCATAAACAGATACGTGCCAAATTCCTGATTTTCTCTCCTTTTTATTGGAAACCTCTTAGACTGAGCGCTCCGGAAATGTGGCTGAAACAAAAAGATGATTTTGTACAGAAGAATGTGTCTGATATGATGTTCACGTGCTCAAGGACAGTGAAACACCATTTTGGCATCAGTGTGATTGAAATACGTCTTTCAGATACCTTTGCTTTTGGTTTGTGCAGCAGTGCAGGCAAGAAGCAGGGTGGGGAGCACAATTCTGAATGTGCTTCTGCAGGGTCCCTGCTTAAAACCAGGACCATGCCAAGTGAACTGGACCCTGTTTGGTTAAAAGGAGAGTGACTAAATGGAGATGCACTGCATAATAAAGTGGGTTTTCAAAGGAGAAATCAGTTCTGTGGGTCCCTAATACACTGCATGAATTTAGAGGCAAGATTTTGGAGCGATGCTGAGCACCAAGTCAAGAAGTTTAAAGAAACCAGGACTTAGCAGGGGTGGCAGCTGACACACAAAGTGGCTATCTAATAGCCCTTCTCTCCTGTGAGCTGTGATCCAGGATCAGTTGAAGCAATGGTGGGATTTCCTCTGTGTCTATCTTTTATGCGGCAGGCTCACCTTCTGGATTAATACAGGCACCATCAACCCTCGGAATAAATAAGAACCAGACTGAAAGCAAAGCCCAAATCAAGTAGATTTGGTAATTGAGGAAATCTGGTGGTTTGGCCAGGTCTGTGGGGCTCCTTTTCATCCTGTTATAACTCTAGTGGTCTAAGCAGTTTGCCACTGATGTTAGTGAGAAGAGAGGCAGATAAAACAAGGGGCTGCTAAGGCAGTCGGTCCTCTATCCTAGCTACATGCTGCCAGGTTTGCATACCAGTATTGCTTCCCTGGTGCTCTCTACCCAGGTGCAACAGGCTAATAAAGGGCTTTCTAGACGAGAAAGCTTCCTAGTTGCATCAGCTGATTGCCATCTGGGGGAAGTCTCTGACAAGGGCTTTAAATTTGCCACTGTTTGTCTTCTCCCAGCTGCAGAGGCTTGCAGAGGGGAAGCACAAGGAGGCAGGAAGGAAAGGCTCTGAGAAAAAGCACTCTCAGGGCTCCTGTCTGCCTCTGTCAGGGAGGAGATAAAGACTGAAGAGAATACAATAGGAAGGAGTCTGTCTCTCTGAGCAAGATTATTTACTCTAACCCTAGCTGATGCTTTGTGGGTAGCTGTCACAATGCAGATGCGTCTGGGATCAGGTTGTAATAGGAATTCGAACATGAGCACATTTGCAACAAGGGCTTGGTGGTCAAGTGTTATGTGTTTTTTAATAAGCTTTCTTATGTTTTATACTCCTAACCAGGAAATCCTTGGAATTTCTGCTCTGTGGATTCAATAAGGAATCAGCTGGGAGTCAGGGGGAGAAGTGATGCTGAGCCTGAATGCTTTCCAGCAGCCTACTCTAACGTTTTGACAGGTAAGAAAAACAAACTGTGAGCTGCTATTTATTTTGGGCACCCTTTTAGAAGGAATCTCCACCAATGGAGCTGTAGAGCATCAGGCAGGCAGAGGCCTTGAGAGGCTGCTAAGCTCTGTCAGGATCAGTAGCAAACTTTTTCTCTCTAGTAATAACGCCTCACCTCTCTGTGCAGTGATTCATCTGGAAAGACTTGGGCAATTTACTGGAAGTACAATCACTGCCCTCTCCACTGACCACGTCTGTCTTTGTTTCCAGCGTGTGCTCACAGCACAGAGCAGCTATAGGAAATGAAAGCTGACAGTACATGGAGTTCAGCACAAAGGCGGAGGTTAGAAGGTAAACCAGCTGAATCCCAGTTTTACTCCTGATGTTTGAAACCAGCAAGTTTTTTGTGCAATAATTAACACAAATGTTACTAAGCCTTTCTTTGGACAGCTTGAGTATTAAGGAGGGATGCTGGTGGCTCTTTGGTTGTTGTCTGGGCTGGAACATGAAACAAGCTAGGAAAATGCTGTTTAGTAGCTAAGACCACAGCAATGTTACCTATGGATAGATGGAAAATCCCTTGGGGCTGAGCTGCCCAGCAGCTCTGCTGCCTCATTTAAGACAAGGGGTTGGCTGGTCTGTGTGACCTGGGCTGTGCTGCAGCCTGTTAGCTCATTAAAGCTTGGGGCAACATCTGATAGATCATGGGAAGTCCCACCCAAACCTATCTATGGTTATATGGCCAGGCCAGGAGCTGTATGATGAGAGCACCAGGCTAGAGCCAAGAGCATCCCTTCCCTCCTTTTTCTGCTCTGCTGCTTTCCTGCATGTGTCCTGGTTTCCTCCCTTGCACAAGGGTGTTAAGGTAATTTCTTCCCTTTATAGTTTACTTGGACCCGTATGGTTTCAAAGTGCTTTATAAGACCCAGACAGCTTACAGTGGTGTGATGGTGCAGCAAAAGCATCCTGATCTCTGTAGGCTGTGTCTTGTGCTCTGGTAAAGCCAGAGATTTGGCTAGCTGTATTTATATAGCTTGAAGGAACTTCATGGTAGATTGCATCTAGCTTTGGTAAGAGGGTCTTGAACAGACTGGAACTGGAGGGCTGGTAAACTTGGGCATCAGGCTAGTTTCTGTCACCTTTTCCTCGGGTGATACACAATAACACAGCTGCCAAAGTGATACCATCAGCTTCCAATTCTTCAGCCTCTAGAGCAGATCCTTTCTTTCATAAAATAATCCTTCTCCAGCCTGCATTTAACGTCTGTAGCTGGTACCTGCTACCATGCATGTAAGATCAGGAATGGGAGGGGTACTTTTGTGTCTGAGCTGGCTCTGGGTGGAGATGCTGTGAGATAAAATGGCTTTATAAAGCTCTCTTTAAACGCAATAAAAGAAGCATCTCTCTGCTTGCCAGCAGAGACTCCTTTCTATTGCAATCTGGGGCTGCCTGGTGCCTCAGAACTGCCTCTTCCCAGTCAGAACTGAAGCTTACTCCTCCTTTCTTCTTGTGTGGTGTTAATTTCTCTCTGTCATACCCTTCAGAGAAAGGCTGAACATTTGCCTTCGTGTTCCTCAGTCCTGCCAGTGAACACCTGTGGCTCCTGAGCATTTACAGAGTTTGACAGCCCATGCTCTTGAATAAGCAGCCTCTTGCATAAGGGCTCAGACATGCAAAGAAGAAAGTCATTGCTGATAAGGTCTGCACTTTCAACAGCTATTTCTGGGGCAAGGTGTTGGGAAAGCAGGAGCCGTAGGGGATGTGGGAAATCAGAGATGCCAGTCATTGGTCCATGATCACTGAGCTGTACCACAGCACAGTCGCTTAGGATCAGTGGGGAGGTGAAGATCTCTGCTGCAGCTCAGCTATTATCCATCATTGAAACGGGAGGAGAAAGGGAATTGTTAGTTAAATGGTTAATAGCTGCCTTCTCCCTGCTTTTCGTTCTGCCCTCTAGCTAGATGTAAGTAGCTACAACTCCAGCACTGAAGTCTGATGAAAGAAAGTGAGTATGAGTCAGAGGCAACCTGCACATTTCCCCCCTTTTTTTGTGCTTTCCTAGAAGTCTTCCCCACTGGCAACAAATCCTTGTACTTTTTCCCACCGTCCTCCCTATCTCAATGCCAGACCCGGTGTCTGATATTCAACTGTCTCTTGCTAAGGCCGGCAGGGGCAGTGTCACTCAGTCCGATGTCTCCAGGTTGCTGCCCTGCTGATGTGATTGTCACTGACGTGGGAGCTCTTTGCCTACCAGCCTGTGAGGGGACTGCTGGTGCTCGCTGTTGGGGTATGCGATGACTGCCCACAGTGTCAGTGGTACCAAGGAGAACTCTCTGCTCATGCATCAGCAGAGGCTCCTCAGGACATCTGCAGCACTGACACTGCCAGAGGGCGCCTTGGAGTCTTTGCATCATGGATTACAAACATGATTTTTCCACTCCTTGATCTAGGGACAAGATAGTGTTTCATTGAGCTCTGCAGATCCAGCCCAAATGGGGAAAATCGGTAGGAAAGGGGAAGAGATGGGAGGTCACCACCTCTGTCAGCTTTGCCTCCTGAGGGGCATCTCTTTCAGGTGCTCCTCTCTGGTCTGTGTAAGGTTTAATGGCAGCAGCTGCTGCTTTATAAGCAGATCCTGCCTAGGATGGTCCCATCCTGTGGGAATTGCTCTCTCTGGAAGTGTTTCAGCCTGGTTCTTGTCCTGTGCTTGGTCACAGCAAAAAATACCAAGCTTAGACTTTAGGCTGGGCAGTAAATGCTGGAGCTGCACCCCTGGCTGCCTCTGCTCCTTCCCCTTCAAAAGGTCTCTCACTCTTCAAAACTCACCCTTGGGCAGGAGCTTGTCTCCATCAGTTCCCTCCCCAGTTACAAACCCAGGGTCATAAATGGGAAGACTGGTTAAAACTTGGAAGAAGGATTTACTTGTTCCCTTTGATCGCCTCAATACCAGCCTCTGTGCAAGCCTAATGTGCCAACCCCCTTCCTGAGAGTGTAATTGACCGTCATAATTGCAGGGTTTCATTCTCCTCTGGAGTTTCCCCTTAAGGGGCATATGAGGATCGCAGTCTTGGAGAACATCTCTCATTCTGCATAAAACTGCACCGAGGAGCTATACATAAACAGCCAGCCCTGGAGTTTTCCTCCCACAGATGCTCTGTAGCTCCCTAGACCTCTCTTGCTCTGATGACCCCTTCACCCTTGGGAGTGTTTTGGCTGGAGGAGGCAGCAGATAAAATCCTGAAGCTAACAGCAGTGCTGTGGATGTGTCGGGAGAGATTGGGCTCTCTTGGTGCAGATGATTATGGAGTGAGATCAGCTGCTGACAGAAGCTCGGGGGAATCAGCACATAATCTCTGCCACTGCCTCATTTTTTTGTGTCTGCTTCTGGAGGACAATGAAATCGTACTGAGTTTCTGCAGCAGTGGCTACAGATGGAGTTTGCAGCCATATAAGTACAAAGTATCTCCCTTATAAATGATTTAATCACTTTTCTTCCATGAGAACTGACCCGTCAACCCCTGAAGAACAAAAAGAACGTTTTCTCTCAAATGCAGTTCAGCATTATCAGATGTATGACACGGAGATCCCAGTGGGCCTGCTTGGTCTGTTTGTGCCTGTTTTACTGAAGGGATGGCCGTAAGAGTGAATCCCTGAGTTACATCACGACAACCAGAATCTGAGCCAACCCTCTCGTCCCTGTTCTGATGGATTTATTCCAGACCAGAGGAAGTCTCACCATCTCCAACCTTCCTGACTTGCAACCAAGACTGTGGCCATCTCCAAATAGTGGTTTTTGTCCCGTTTGAAAGCAGGAGGTACCATTTGGGACCATTTGGTTTCCTGTTGCACCCTTTGCCATGAGGACAGGATGGTTTCCAGTTAGGGTTCTTTATAGTCTGGAAAAACATTATAAACTTTTAGCAGACCCATAAATATCAGCTCTGTGGCATCATGTGTTGTGGTTGGCTACGCAGTCACCTCTTCCTCATAAGTCCTTGAAACTATAAATAGAGGAAAGTGTTGGGAATGGCCAATTTGAGCATTGAGAAAAGGCTGAACAATGCTGTGACTTCCAGGGATCTCACCCAAAGGCAAGGATGGATCAGGGCTGACTTCTTACCAAGTGATTTCTCCTTGATGGAAAGGACTGGCAAGGCGGGATCATCTTTGCCTTTTGCATCAGCAATGTGGTCTGTCTTATGTCTGAGGAGCAAAGGAGTGATCTGGGGGCAACTGGGGGCATTTTTGGAGTGAGTTCTTGGTCACATTTTAACACTGTGACATTATGCTTCTTGTGATGAGTGTAATTAAAATGAAGTCAAAATAACATCTTTAAGCCTGTGGCCAAGCCAAAGAGTCAGGGATGGGTTGAGCTCCAAGGAAGAGGGTGGAAAAGAGAAGAGGGCGCAAGGGACAGGCAGATTGTTTTGAAAGACAACTATGAAGGAGGAGAAAAGAAAACAAGAAGGCAGAGCAAGAAAAGCCAGAGGCTATCCATAGGGATAATGGCACTTTTGTTCATTCCAAACTTATCGCAATTTCTAGATCCTGATATACTTTTGTTTGGAGTCCAGCTGCATTTTTTGGTGTATGAGGAAGGGACCGGGTGCTTTTATGTGCCTATTTAAGCTTTTGCCATTTTCTGACCCTTTTTATTGGGTCTGTTTAAGCTTTTACCTTTTTCTCAGGGTCCACTTAAGAAGCCTGGAGTCAACAGGACTCGGGCTGAGCAAACATCCCTCAACTGGTGAAAGTAACCTCTGGAAATACCTTGCAAGTTGGATCTTAACACCCTGATCTCCCTACAAGGGACATTCGTGTTATGCTAGCCCATAAAGCAAAAAGGCAGTGTTTTCCCAGTGCCAAAACCAAGCAGCTCTCAGCTTGTGTCCTGCCCAGTCATCAGCCTTTGCTCATGCCAGGTGCCTGGGGCTTTGCAGGGAATGAATAACCTGAGTGATCTGCCCAGTGAGGGATGTCTCGGCAGGGATTTCCACGTTTTGTTTTATTGGCAAATATTGGTAGCATTTTTACCCAGCTCCTGGAAACAAATGAATGGGCTTTTCCATTCCTAACATCTGCACCCATTACTTCCTTCACCATATAGCAAGCCGAGGACTAGAGCTAACTCACAACTTCTAGGGTAGCATTCCAGGTGTCCAGGCTACTACTCAAGGCAGATGTCTGTGTGCTGTGGGGATCTGTCAGGCTGTCCAACAGCAAAGACCTACAGAGCCCATCATGTACCCTAAAGCATGAAGGCAGAAGGTCTTTGATGATCTGGACTACAGTTAGTGACGTGGCTTGGTGCTGTCTTAGTGACATGCAATAGGAATGACCATTGCTTCCACTATAAGAACACACATGTAGCTATCTCCCTGGCTAATGATGGTGTTTGTTGGAGGAAATGGTCCCTTGGCTAGATCAAGAGCTGAAGGAGGAATGGTCTGCGAGGCTGTCCCAACTCCAGTCTCTAGTAAAAGCCTCGTTTGGTGATTTCCACTGAAGAAATGGCAATATCGTTGAGAATCTGCAGCTTGGTGATGGATGAAAGCCGCTTCTGCCGATGCTTGTACTGCAAGATTTTGTTTTCATCAATGAAAATGTGGAAATAGTCCTGGTCAGAGTAGATTTCAACCTGAAAGAGAGACTGTGTTAGGTCCACCCTGTGGCCACATGTCCTCACTGGACCTTGCTGCCATCATGTCTGTGAGAGCCTGGATATGGGTGCGTGTGTCTGCAACCCAGTAGAACCCTGCCAGTCTCAGACACACACTGCTCACCCCCGTTTTGGGAAAAGAGAGAGAGAATAAATGTGTTCTTTGCTTCATGATAACAGAAACTGGTGATAAAGCAAAGCCTAAATGGAAAACAAATGGAGCATCCAAGAATTACTGCTACAGCTCTGTGTTTCTGTGCCAGAGCTGGGTGTAAATCAGCAGCAAATCAGGGTACAACAGAAATACTAACAGGAGACAGAGCCAGAAAGGGGATGCTACTTTGTATAGTGCTGCAGAAAAAGCAGGGCTAGATCCATGAGGAGGACCCCAGTACCAGCTGGGTCACTCCTTTCCCACCACTGAGGACATCTATGGGGTGACAGGGGGTTACCTGGAATGACTCCTTTGCTTTGAAGGGGAAGGTGTTATTAACCTCTTCCTTCCCCCAGTGGTTGGCAAGGAAGGAGTTGCAGACGATCCTGGAGCTGGAGAAGCGAGGATTGAAGTGGAGAGCAATTTGGTCTCCAGGATCACAGAGCAAATTGATTTCAAACCTGAGACAGGGAGAGAAAGAGGAGCTGGAGTGATGCTGCTGCCTCTTGTGAGCTGGGATTGCTGCAAGCAGTGTCCTTACATGCTTGTGCTGGAACTGGTCTCACCCTTGACCACGATGCTCCAGCCGGGACACATCCCCTCTGGGTACAGGGCCTCGAACTGCCGACAAGGAGATGATGGTGAAGCATGGTAAGGTGGGAGAGGTGCACAGCCCCATTTTTTCCTTATACTTCTCCATCTTTCTCATCCTGTCGTCGTTTTCTCCTTTCTTCCCCATTCCCATTCAGGTATTCTCTGCCCCTGCCTTTTTCTCACTTCAATACAATCTCAGGGGCTCTGTATTGATAAGAAATGAAGCTGCTCCAACATCCAGGGCATGAAGTGGGGTTTGCTGTCCCTGAGGTCTTTTGTGAAGAGCTGGGTGGGATCAGGGAGCAAAAATTGAAGAAGAACCTGGATGCCTTCATCGCCAGCAGGACACAAAGACACTGCTTCTCTGCCCGCCTGGGCAATACAAGATCTGAAGCAGAAAACTTTGAGATGCTTCGAAGCAGGGTGTGAAAGACAAGGAATGGGTGTAACATGGCATCCAGCCTGTCCTCATCTAGCATTGCAGGGGGGGCTTTTCCTATAAGCTCCTGCCTGATCCCCCATTCCACCTACTCCCCATCTCCAAGTTTAAACTGGCACAAAATGACCTGGAAAATGTTTTTTTTTTTTTAATAATACATAGTTTTGTTAAATAACTCACTTTAATAGGAAGTGCTTGGTCATCTCACCCTGCTTTTTTTTAGCATTCTAATGATCCTGCATTTCTGATCATCCCTCTCTCCCAGACTTATTGCTTGCACTGCAAAGACCTTTCTAGCCTTGGCACCTCCACAGCCTTTCCCTTCCTGTTTCTTTATCTGCCATGATGCCTCATTTTCCAATGCATTTTTGGGATATGCACGTTTTTAGGCAGGAGCTGAGACATGACCATGGCTAACCTCATGCCCTTGTGTCTGTCTGCTCTCGGAGGGCAGCTCTGGGAACCTGCACATGGTTGTTTAAAGGCTCTGACCACACCAGTGTTCACCCCTGTGAAACACAGAGAGCTGATGGAGCTGATGTTCCTTTTTTAAACCAGTGCTGGTGGCAACAGCCAGGTTCACCTTGCCTTAATTCTTGGCTTGTCATCATTGCAACAAGCCCAGCAAAACGTACACCATGAGCACAGCAAACGGCAGTTCCCTCTTTGCTGCTGGCTGTCCCAACAGGGACGGGTGGCAAAGCATTGGCTGTATTTCAGTCTCGGCTCAAACCCTCCTGGCCAGAAGTGCTGAAGCGTTGCCCCAGACCAGCCCTAGCATAATCAAGACTAACATCTGTCCTATTGACCTTTATTGAGAGCCATGAAGGTCACAGTTTTGCAATAGCCTGGACCAGACTGAAATAGGGCAGCACCACAAGTAGCATCCCCACGTCTTTTGGGATTTGTGTCTTTCTTGCTCTTATCTCTGCCACTTTCCTTTACCTGCTCTTTGACCCCATGCCCTCAGACAGACCAGGCTGTGCCAGATCTTGTCCCCAGCACTTACCCTCAATGCCATCCTCTTGCCTGCCCTTGTCCTGCAGACCCACCTTGGGTGCATGGCTGGAGGGGTCTATATAGAGGCCACCAGCCTGGAGCCCACATGTGTGGGGATTAGCATCAACAGGAGCTGAGGTCTTGCTTTCAGAATGGGCTGGGACATGGGGAGCAGTAAATCCTGGTGCCTGCCCAGCGGGGTCAACCTGCTCATGCGTGCAGGGCTAATCCAGCTCTGCTGCTGCCTGCACAAAGGCAGTGGTGACCAGGCAATCCTGAGCTGTGAGTGATGGAGCTGGCATGCAGCAAAGATGGGCAGACAGGCATTCACACTGTGGTCTGTGTGTAATGCATGAAGGAAGGAAGGATGGATGGCGGCTCCCAAAGTTCAAGAGATACTGGGAGTCCCATCCACTGCAAGGTCCAGAGAGAGGGAAGGTGGCTCCAAAGGGGCTCAGCTTCACCCTGACCATCAGAGGTTCCTTTTCTCCCTGTTCTCTTTCTATTCACTCCCTGTGGGTCACAGCCTGGTCTGAAACAAGCTGATGCCAGCTCTGTCAGAGCTGCTTTTCCGCCTCACAGCACCCTGGTGTTGGTGCGACTCAGGATGCTGCTATACTGAGCTCAGCATGCCCCAGCTCTGCGCTTCCCTTCCCCGCTGGGGACAATACAGGGATTTGGGAGCCTTTGTCTGATATTTCCTGTCATGGAAAAGCACCAAGAAATGAGCAGCAATGAAATGAATGTCAGTGATGGGGATTTTCAGGCTGACAGTCAGCATGTACAGCTGGGTGAAGCGAGCCAGGGAAGGGAGGGATGGGTGCACCCCCCTCCTCTTCACAGGGTAAATGCGTTAAAACCAGATGCTGGCCCCATCCCTGCATGCACAGGAGGCTGCAACGCTTCCCGGCTGGTCCTACAGGACTTCATGGCTTTCATGGTTAAAACTTCCTCGCTGTATGGGCAGCAGTGCTGATGTTACTTAATGTGTTTACTCTATTTCCAGCAGATAAGCAGAATGGGAGCTGCTATCCCAGGCTCTGGTGCCCTTGGCAGATGATTAGAAATGCAATCCAGGGAACATAGAAGCCAACAGGCTCTCTCGGGGCTGAAAAAGCCAAGTCCCAGCTGGGATTTGCCCATTTGGACTCCTACAGAACTGGAGCTTGTGAAGCTGAGCTCTGCCGTGGTTCCCTTGCTCTGTGCCAGGGAGCAGTGGAGCAGAGCTCTGTGCTACAGATGGCAGCATTGGGACGTGCAAAGGAGCCGTGAGCCAGCAGCAGAGGTGTTGAGGTGGTGGGGCCAGGGCCAGGGCCATCCCACCCACGCATCCCTCCTTGGGCTGCCATAGGATGCTGGACATTGGCCTCTCCAATGTGCCCGGCTGTGTTTTCACCCTTAAATCATCCCTCCCTGATTGTTTCTCCTCTCAGACAGGCAAAAGACTGCAGGGAGAAGGGACTGTAAGGAGAAGAGACCGTTTGTGGGATGCTGGACAAAACCAGACTGCATTGCAGTCCTGCACATAGGAGAGGAGTGAGCTGCAAGCTAAATAACTGTGCCAGGTTTATCATAACTATGCTAATGAAATCAGGGCACTGGGGAAGGCTTGGGCACCACAGGCCAGGTCATGGTGCAGTGGGCTAACAGAGGACATCAAGCCATGGTGGGACAAATGCCATCTCTTTTCTTTGCCCAGAGGCTGCATCTCACCCACGTAGTGCAGGAATCAGCGTGAGTCACGACCTCTAGAGAAGCTGCTGTAGCTCTTTATGATTTCTTTATGACTTTATGCTTGTCACGAATCTGTGCACATAGTCTGACCTGGCAGGGTGATGTCCCAGGCACACCGAGTCTCCTTCCAGTTTCCACTGGTTCCAGCAACAGGCATGGAATTTGCTTCCCTGCTGCAAAACGCTGCATCAGGCCAAGTGGCACTGGGAGCCATGGGGCTGCCCTATGGGAGAACAACAATAGTGAAGGCAGGTTTGGAGAGATGGGAAAACTCTCAGGGAAGGAAGGGGAGTTTCGATTGCTCCAGCTGTGGGGAGAGCAACATCTGAGATACCCAGCACTTCCCAAAATTCAAGGCTTTGCTTCCTGTTGGCATCTTGGTGAGAACAAGAAAGGTTGCTTGGGAAAATGCAAGCACAGTTGTTCCACCGGTACACGGTGCCCAAATACCAACTGGTTTTACAAGTGTACTTTTATCTGCCTTTGTGCTGCTGCTCAGAAGCTATCATAGCATCTGCCTGTTTAGCAAGGAGGAAGGTCTCTAAATATGTATAAATCTCAGGTGCTGGAGGCAGCATTAGTTCTCAATGTCATAACTTTTCCCTGTCTTTGGTGATGGATGGAACACTGGCACAGAGAAAAGACAGATACAGGCTGAGGTGGAGGGAGTCTAGCGTAGCAAAGGAGAATGGTTTGGTTAACCGCAGGGGAGGCATTAGCAGACCTGCTTATGCATTTGCCAGCCATTTGCTCGTACAACCATCCGCATTTGCACCTTTCCTCAAGCATGTGCTGCTGTTTGTCCCACAAACAAAGCGGCAGAAACACCCAGTGAGGAGCTGAGCCCTCTGCTTCCCATGGGAATTTTCCTGCAAGGCTCCCTGCGCTACGCCTGGTGCGTTTCTAGACCTGTGATTGTTTCCATTGGTCTCTAGAGGTCTCCAAACACACAGCCTGGATTTTGAGGACCTGGACGCAGTGCTCAGCAGTACACACCGTACATCGGTCCTCTCCTCTGCAGTTCACCCACCAAGTGATGCTCCGGTATCCGACACCTACTGAGGTTCTACTGTGAGCTCGTGTAGGAAAGAGGTGTCCATCCCATCATTAACTCAGTCGAGACCTGATGTGAGTGGTTGGTAAAATATCTGTCCCATATCTGCCTTGTTCTGCCAGCTGGGAACATCAGCACACAGACCTGGCTGTGCCCATGCCTGCCTTATATTGCTATATGTGTCCTCAGGCATTATTGCACAGCCCTGTCCCCAGTTAATATTCACCCACATGTGTACTCACACACATACATAGCATCCACGTGACCTCAGCAATATATACCTACCGGAGGCCTGTGATCACAAATCAACCCACATTCCTTATATACACCAATGCAAACAAGCCAGCCCAGTGCTCCTGTGTGGCCCATGGGCTCGCAAAGCTGCTTTAGTGCCTAATGGCCGTAGCAGGGTGGATGTGGACACAGGGAGGGATACAGCACAACGAGACTGCAAATGATGCCGTAGCAAAGTCCCTTGCTTTTTCTTGCTTTGAGCATCACCATCCGGCTACCACCCATTACTTGTCTGGGGAGAGCACCATGACTCCCTTCTCCAGCCCAAGGATGCAGGTCTTTTCCTCCACCTCTGGAGCCAGAGTGATTCAATGTCTTTCCTAACCTTCCATGCTCTTTGTTTGAGGACAATAGCTTTGCAGAAACAAAGATATAATGAAACAATAGCCCGGGTGCAAGCAGAGCCTCTGGGCATTGTCTGTGTGCTCCAGGCAGGCTCAGCTCCTTCTCTTTGGTTACGCCAAACCATGTGGGTCTCCCAGAGCCTTCCCCACCGGACCAAACGAGGGGCTGTGCTTTCCCCATCACACACCTCTGTGTGAGGCTTCTCCAGACTTGCTTATCTGCCGCTTGGCAGTATTTATACCTCCTCCACAGCCATTCCAGTTTCTCCAGGGAATTCCTAAAGCTCCCCTGTGCAATCGGGAGTCAGCTCTCTGCTCCAGTCACGCCGCCTCGGGAATGTGTTACTCTGGGAAGGGTTTTGGCACGTTGCTTTGCCAGCTCACCCTGATTCCCTTTCCCCCAGACCTACAGCTCTGCATTAGCTCCCTGCTCCCGACTGGGAGCTCTCTCCAGTGCTGTTGTCTACAGCCAACATCCAGAGATCAGTCATCTTGCTGTATGCCAGGGCTGGATGGTGTGAGTGCTCCTCCAGGCTTAATGCTGGAGAGGGAAATACTGTTTATGGCTATAACTCTTTTGAGTGCGCAAAACTCGGTGCAACAGGCTTTGGTACCTACTTCTGCAGTCTTCCCTTGCTGTGCTTTACTGGTACTGGCCGGAAGAGGGCTGGAGACTCCAGGCAAATCTCTACGATGAATGATAAGCATACAAAACCTCACACATAGGTCTAACTCTAGAAAAGCCTGATGCAACACCTGCTCTGCTGTGGGATGGGGATCAGCTCTGCAGCCTGCACCTCTCAAGCCCGCTTTGAGGAGACTTCTGTCTCTCACAACATGCCTGGCGGAAGGAGTCCCTTGCAGCCGCTCAGCCTAAGCATCCCCAGGCAGCTTGTCAGAGAGCAGAGAAAGAAAACATCACACCCTGTAAGGTGGCAAGAGAAACAGGTTGATGCTAACACCCCGGCACACAGTGCCTGGTGTTGACTGAGCTTCCTGCACCTCACTGGAGCGTCAGCTCCACTAACAAGGTGCTGGGGATGGCCTTGATGCTGGCAGCTTCTGGGCCAGAATCTGTCATATCATCCATCTTCTGACTGCTTGTTAGCAGGTCCCATCATCCTCCCGGTGCTGGGAAAAGGGAGGGCATGTCCTCTCCCTCAGCAGCCATTTGGATATGAAAGCTGGTTTTATTCTTGCTGTCCAGTAAGTGGGGAAACGAGCCTGGTGTGGTCCTGGTCAGTGCCATGAATGTGAATCACTGCAAGCAAAATCTCTGCCTCTCACTACACCCTTTCCCCATGCAGATAAAAGGGGAAGGTGATCCCATCCCACCCCTGTCTCATTTGTCCCATGAACTGGCACAAGTGCAACTGAGGCCAAGCAAGGAGGTTCTGTTGTCCCTGCGCTTCTGCTTGCCATTCAGGACTTCCCTTTGCATGGCTTTGAGGAGCAGGGATGAAAGGCAGGGCAGTGGAAACACAAAGCATGCCTGGTTTATTTTATTTAAGACTAGACTCTGCTTAAAAGGAAACCAGCATTATCAGCTCCAGCACCGCCGGGTCAGATGAGTAAATGAAAGAGGAGGGTTTAGTTTATGATCTGGAGCTTGAATTTGCTCTTATATGGGCATCCCCACAAGGCGTTGCTTGCCGCCACCTTGACTCTACTCATGTCATGGGGATGGCCAGGCTCCAGCCATAAACTGAGGCAGAGGTGAAAGGCATTAGGCAGAGAGAGCAGTTGAGCTCGGGTTGTACCTACCCCTACTTCCTTGGCTCAGGGCAGTTACACGTGCTGCAACACAAACGTTGCTGCAGCCAGCACATCCCAGCCAGTGGGTATCCATACCTGCCGCATCATTAACCAGCCGGTCTTTGCGAACCAGGACTTCATCATTTCTTACTCAAGTCCCCACGGAGAAGGTGCTAAAGCTGCGTCAAAGCAGGTCCCGTTGCCCTCACCAGCTGGAAAGGAGTGGTGGGTTTGGGGCATGGCTCACCCATCAGTCCTGCTCAGCACTGCGAGGTGCAGGCAGGCAGAAGGTAAACACGCGACCTGGCACGGGCAGTTGTTTACTGCCTGGGGTTCATAGAGCAAATATTTGATCATCCGTAAATAATTGCCCCGTTGTATATGCAGGGACCTGATTTATCCTGCTCCTTGGTGATACCTTCCAAACTCCCTGGGGAGACATCTGTCTCCCTCTTCCTGGTGATTAATGGGGAAGGAGGAGAGCTGGCGCTGGGCCTCGCTGTGCTCCTCAGAGTCAGTGTGGGTGTACTGCGTGTCCTTCCATGGTGGTCTCTGGCTCAGAGCTGAAGCAATGACAGATCCTCAGGAGGAGGGGGGGGATACATGTGAACTCTGCCTGCTCATTCACATTGAATCCTTGGTTCCTTGGGGAGCGTCATCAGCATTGCTGAATCCCCCTCAATCCCCCATCGCCTCACTGCAAACTCTTGCCAATTCAGAAGTGTTTCCCAGCGGCTTCCCAGGTGAGGTTAGACTCCAAGGGCCAGGCTTTGAGCAGCTCTTATTCTACATTGATGATTTACTGCCCCAAAACACAAGAGGAGGGGGAGACACATCACTAGAGGGGCTGCAGCTTGGCAGGATGCTCTGCTCAAGCACCGGGCTGTGAACACAAGTAACAGCAAGACCATCTCTTTATGATGCTCTTCCCTGCAAGCTTCATTCCAGCTCCTTGGCCAGGGAGAACTCATGGCAGCTTGCCTGAGCATGGCACAGGCGGGCCACGCTCCGCGTATCAAAGCCTGGATACCTCCCCCAGGGACCAAGACGTGGGTTGGAGCGGCAGCCTCGTGCCTGCAGGTAGGTTTGGAGAAGACACAGAGGAGAAGGAAGCCTGTCATTGGAGGGAAGCGACCTGCAAGGTTTTGGGGATGCTCTGAGGTTCATAGAGCAGCCAGACACGGGTGTATCAGGATTTGCCCTGCTTTTCCACCATTTGTAATTGACATTTATTAACATAAGGAGTCCTGTTGAGGTGCTGTTATCGTACAAACCTTCCCGTGTCTGTGTTTGATATCCCCATCAATTGTCCTACAGGCTGGGTCCTAGAGAAGGTCCAGTTTGGGTTCAGATGTCAAAAAGCACCAAAGGAGGATGAAAAGGTTCAAAAGAGGAGAAAAATAAAGAGGCCATCACTGTCACAAACCCTCCAGCACCAGGCTGTCATCTGCCCTGCTGCATCAGTGGCATTAAGGGACCGTGATGTTTGCAGAGGGGATGTAGGGTCCACTCCCCATCCCAGCCTCTGGGAGAAGGTGGGATGACACATGCGAGGTGAGTGGTGGGAAGTGCATTTTCAGCCTGGCAGGGCCTGACACACATCCAAAGGGAATCAGTTCCTGCAAGACCCCGTACACGTGTGCCACGGACCACCAAGTCAACAAACCCCTGAGCCTGGAGTCTTGGTCCTTTTCATGTGGGCTCTGACCTTTGCTACACAGGGCTGGTGGCTGAGAAGAAGTGCCGGGTGTTGCAGCAACATGCGAGATGCAGCTGGGGAGGAGGATGCGGCTATTTCAGAGAGCAGGGAGGAAGAGGAAGGGCTGCTGACAAAGACTGAAACTAGAAAAATGACGACGATGACAAAAACCTTCCTCCCATTTAAGGAACCGACTGCATTCCTTTCCTGGTGTGACCAGGATAGCTCAAACCAAGAGACACAAGTTCAAGCTGCTAAATTGCAATTCCTCGTGTCCCAGGGCTGATGTCCTGTTTCAGCTGGAAAGGACCAAACTCCCTACAAGAGGCATCAGTCTTCTGCCCTGCTTAGGGGCTGGGAGGTGGCACCAGGAGCAGCTGCCTTGCTGTCATATCTTGGAGTCTGGGACTGCACCAGGGGAAGCCAAGGAGGTGGTACCCGATGGTACCATATTTGTTGGAGATTCTGGTGCACACGGTGGTGCTGAGGAATGAAGAAGGGGAAGTGTATCCTTCCCTACAGCCATGTTCGTTCTGACTGTCTTGCTGCCTGCTCCTCTGGAGCTGGAGGAGCAAAGAACCCAGCTCCCCCTTGGGAGATCTGCTCCTCTCTGCCCCTTCCCTCAGTGAGACTCCCTGACCCCGCTCCAGCTCTTCTTCTGCAGGCAGTAAAATTGTTCTTCTTGAGACAAACACAAAGACAGTCCCTGCCCCGGGGAGCCTGTGGTCAAGGCGAGGAGATGCCATGTTATTTGGTTTCATCTTTGTTTTCATTCTGGCTTTTAGAGTTTGCAGATGGGCTCTAGCCACAAAGTCTGGAGACAGGTCCAGCTTCCAGTGACTCCTGACTTGGGTGGAGGCTGGATCCAGGCTACTGATTGAGTCCCTCTATTTCTGGTGCTGGATTTATACATAATTTGCTTCTATACAGTTATGAATAGAGCTGGGCAGGGTGTGAGAATTTCAGCAGGGAGGTGAAGGGATGCTTTATAAATGAAGCATTTGTTAGTGCAAGATTTCAGCAGGAGGAAGGGAAATAAACTGGCAGCAAGAGCATGGTGTGGGTGTATGCCACGTGCCTTGCAAAGGGTTTAATCCGCCAAAGGCTGAACCGAGACCTATCCACACCTTGACTGCAATTTTCCTGCTCTGGGAAGTGGGGTTGAAGCCACATCTGCATCTCAGTAGCAGCTCAGGAGAAGCCAAGGCGTGCTCAAGACCTGAGGACAGAGCTGTAACTCCAGAATGTGTTATATCCCTCTTTCCTGCTCCTGCCATTGCTGATGGCAGGATTCCAGCCCCTTAGGGCTAGGGAGCAGGCACAGAGGGAGATGCCCATTTGCCACAGTCAGGGGTAAAGCTCCCACGGATGGGAACAGAGAGGGGCTGCAGGGTTTCAGCCTCCATCTCCAAGAGTGATCAGGGGTAGCTCTGACCTGCATCAGCACTTCATCAATCCTGTTTTGTACTTAATGTGGATCGTAGCCTGGGGAGAGCTTATTCAACTATGGCTCTGCTCTTCATATCCTCTGCTTCTCCTCCTCCTCCTTTGTATCTGGCTGCTGGGAGAAATTAGCTTTAGCTTTAACCAAACTGTGAGGGGGTTTCCAAAACATCTGGAACAGCTCATGGGGCTAGAGTGGAGTGTAAAGCTGAGGGTGGAAATAGGGTCATGGAAACGGAGACACCCTGTTGGATTAATGCTCCATAGCGGCACTTGGGAAAGGCTGAGTTCAAATCCTCACTCCACTTCCAAAGGAAAAGAGTTGGGAAAATCCCAGTGAGACCCTGTCTATGCTATCACATGCCTCTGGGTCCTGCTCCACAGGGACCATGCCTGGAGGAGCTCCCACCAGTGCTTACCAGTGCCCATCACCTTAGCATAGTGATATAGCACTATGATGTGAAGGGCAGCATGGGTGTTTTGGTCTCCCAGATCCAAAGCCTGCTTCTATATCCAGGCTGGGAGGAGGTCTAGAAAGAAGCCTGTATTTTGGAAAGGGCAACAAGGCCCCTCGGGTTATGCAGAGGCTGCCAGCTTGGCATCCATCACAGCTGGAATACTGAGATGGCTTTTAATACAAAGCAATGTGTAGTTAATTAAAGAAGGGGGTTTAACTGATGCCAATCCCAGAAAATGATGAAAATAGATCTCTGCTAACTTCTTCATTTCGACAAGGCTTGGACTGGGGTTGATAAAGATGATGTTGTCAATGCAACAGCCTTGGTTGTGTGGTTTGACTTGGCATTTGGCCATGGGACAAATGGAGCTGGAGTGGAGTCTACTGCTTAGATTGATTGATAAACATTAATGATGGAAAACCATCAGGGCTCACCTGATGGGAGGGCAAATGATGCTGGCTATGGGCTGGGAGATGAAGCTGCCCTGGGGAACTGTGGTCATGCAGCCGCCTCTCCAGTGGCGTTGGTTCTGGATCCTCCCCAGTTTTACCTGTTTGCTGAAAAACTAAGACCCTTCTGAAAACGTTTGTAAATGACTATTACAAAATAAGCCAGATCATTCAGCTTGGTGCAAGCCAAAACTGCCTCTTTTAGTACAACCACATGGGGAGTCTAGGAACAAAAAGGGATGGGGCAAACTCTTTGTCTTGGGAAACAAAGCACATGAAAGCCATA